TGTTCTAGAAAGTGAAATTTGCATGGGCATACTTGCAATGTGAAACCTTACCAAGCCTGTTCTGAACTTTCATCCTTTTGAGATTTCAATACAGCCGTTTGTGCTGCACACACACTGGCTACTTTGGCCAGACAGAGACTTGATCCATATGAAGGTAAGCAGGCGAGTATCAACGGCTCAGTTCCGTGTGTGGTGACCTTCTCTCCTTATCCGACGACTTACCACACTTGGTTCGCAAGGCATTTGAAAAGGAGAGCAAGTCAGCTGCTGGATGATGCTCCCAGTACTGAGCAGTCGACGATTGCTTGTTCACCTTTGTATAGATCACGACTGTACTTCAAGCTCGGCAAGTGTGTCACTTATCTGATTCAGCCTACCAGTGGTGTGCTGAGCGGTATGTGTAGAGCTAGTTGATTTGTGTATAGACAGTGGCTGTGCGGTATAAAACAGACCCAATTGGGAACTTTCATGCAATCGTTTATACTCCCATTGATGTTATGATTATGATTACAAAAACGTTTTATGGTGCAAACAAAAAAAAACGCGATGTAATCGTTTTTTGAGACTGCGTGTGCGATCTCCAAGCTTGTGTTTGTACGTTCTGTGCGGTGAAATGCCCTGTATAAGCACATTAGAGAATCCTTGAGCTATATGCTGCAAGGAGTGAAAACAGCAGTCCGCCCGCATTCTCCCCTCTTCTGTATACTGTGCAAATGCAGACGGACGCGCACTTTGGATGCTTTGCACTTAAAGGCCCCACATAAAGCACACTGCTTAATACGCATCAATTATTGTGAAGTGTTTGCGGATTTGGCTTTTAAATGTCATGCACATAGGAAGCACAATGGTGATGTAAAGTATGCCGAAATCGTAATGGTGCACTTTAAGGTTTTACAGGGTATGTTCTGCAAAATGCGGAACAAATTGTTTGGGTCAAAACTTTACATCGCCCAAAAAAGGTCTTGTGTTGCCCTAGGCCAGGGGCCTATTTAGAAAAATTATTACAAAACAATGTAGCTAATAATGTGTATATCTGCTGATTATTGTTTGTTTTCTTCCAATTGCAGCATACACGGAGGGTACCTCCAAGGAGAAGGGGTGGGATTATGTAGAGAAGCTAGTGCTTCTCCCTATGGGTACAAAGCTGTCCAAAATAAAGTCGGAATGGAAAAAGCACCACCAAGTTCCGCCTGGTCCTGGGCAGCCACAATACTGAACACGGGATTCAGAAAAATAATAATATGAAGGACCCTAGGCAGGCAGCCACACGTTTTGAGTTCGCAATGACATTTGATTATGATCACAAATATTCCTGCATTGCTCAAAGTCGCATAGTTTACACACCATAGTGGTTATCGTTAGCGCAGCAGGAATATTTTTTATCAGGCTTAAACGTCATTTTTAATTGAACAAATGTGGCTTTCTGTGCAAGTCCTTTGTGTTTTTACTCTTTTTTTATTTGTGTGTTCGTTATTTCATTTTTTTCTTATGATTTAGTCCGGGTTTCTGTTACTTATGTGTTCATTATTTATTTATTTTTTTCTTTTATTAAGTTTTAGTTAAAAATGTGATGCCCTCGTCATTTTCCAGTCCGGGAAGCGGTGGTGACCTCGTCGTGTTCAAGGAGCAGTAATGAACTTTTCATCTTGTATTGGTTCCGGCGAACAATGGTGTCTGTGCGTGTGTGTGTGTGCGACGTGTTGGTCACAAGAAATGGTTTCGGGACTGAACGGAAAAACAAGGCCAGCGAGGAGCGACGGGGGACTTTAAACATCGCACGGTGCAAGGAAGGACTTCAACGACGAGGCTAGCAAGCAAGCCCATGTCAAAACTGCTGTGCTCGACCGGAGTGCTCAATCAGAACTTTACCCTGTGAGTAAGGATCAACGACTTTGGAACTTTCGTATAGTTTACAGCTTAATTGTCGCCTTCCTTTTGTTTTATTTTAATAGGAGTCTGTGTGCTATTACATATTTAGTTTATTTTAATGGTTGTTTGTGTGATATTACTATTATTTTTTCTTGAACGGCGGAAGTGCTTGTTTGGAATTTTGGCGCTTTTATGTATAAAACGTTTTTTGCAAACCATATCTGTCTGCTCCCTCGACAACCAATCCCGCCAAAGGGCTGTGACTTTCAGACCTCGAATGATATGTTGCAATGTTTGCTAACTAGCGATCGCCTGCATTTGATTTTTGTAGCATACATATTTGTCGGAATTACAAATTTCGAACTAGGCCACTAAAGATTGGTCAGTGGCCTATTCTGCCGATGTATCTACGTAAACACACGTTTGGCAGTGTGGGATAGAAGTACAATTATATTTTGTGGATATTCATAGAAATGCATATGATCCCATGACTGGACCTGAAAGTATGGTACCTGCCCCATGGCAATAATTTTAATGTGATGCTAGAAGGAGCATCACATGAAAATTGCGTTATATGAGGTGGGTACCCTATTTGCCAGGCCCAAACACGGGATCATATAAAGCAGTCTATTTATGGTATATAAGGAATTGGGCAGATATGGCTATATCTAGCCATATACGGCCTGATTATGCATATGTGGTCATATCTGCCCCATTCCTTATATATCCATATCTGTATTTTCATTATAAGTCTAGATATGACATTTTTGTAAGGGATGGCTTGTAGCATCAGCTGCCATACATCGGAAGGTGAAACAGTTGGTGTGTCACTCTATTAAACTACTTCTATTATATTCAGGTGTTGCCTGATACGGTTTAATATACGGTTAGACCCACTCCGGTGAAGCTCTACGGATTGGCCAGATACGGTTCAGCTTCCGCTTCGACCAATTACGGTTGGGTTTCCGGACTGGGTATTTCCGGTTCATTTACGGTTTCTAGAAATCCGGTTTGCTTAGGGGCCCATATGACGGATTAAAATTCCGGATTCATTCCGGTTTATTTTTAAACCGTTTTTTTTTTTGGTAGGGTGGCTGACGTAAACTTGATATTCTGGGCTTGAGGAAAGAGGGAAATTCATGAGTGGGGCCATACTGCGGCTTACTTAGTACTCTGCCCTTCGCTGTCTCTGGCATCAGCGGACGTCTATCTGGAGAACACCGGAGTAAACTGAAGTCGGTTCGTGCTCCGTGCGTTTTTGAACGGCACCAGGAAAGGTACACATCGCGACACTGTTAGCACGAACAGGACATTGGCGCATTTCCGCATTTTACTTCTAAATAGTATTAGCGAGCACGAACTTTTAGCGCTTACGTTATAGAACTAAATGAGCTCTTTCCGTACGAATAACAGCTTGGATGAAATCCTTTGCTTTCAAAGAAAAAAACTGAAAAAACCAGCGATCGCTTGTTCGCGCTAGCAGCGTCGCGCTCTGTACACACGGCAAACGTGCATTTACATTTCCTTGTTTTAACCGACGTTCTAATTAAGTGTATTTAGGAGTGTCCTTTTTTCTTTTATTACTTTAATTTATATACTGGAAACTTTTTTTGTTATTCACCAACGTCTCAAGTGAGGCTCGAACTGTTCAGAACCAAAGGAAGAAGAATATCGAGCCAAACCTTATTTATTTTTTCAATTATCACCTTACTGTTACAACTATGTTTTGCTATTGATGAGTTCCACAGCTTCGCGATTTAGACAATGGAGAATTTTAGTAGATCGGTCCGATGACTCCGATAACGATATCCGATACTTCCCCGCCGTCTTTGCCCATGCATCATATCGTTATCGGGTACCGTCATCGCGGGTATCGGAGGTATCGGAAGGATCTACTAAATCTTTCGAATAGCAGGCAACGGCTGCAACAACGAAGCTTTGCTCTACATTCGAGGTAAATAGTATTTCCCTTGCTTCGCTGAAAAAGCTCAATACCGAGCATGAAGCATTCGTGAGGAACAATATGGCACTCCCATCCAGTGCCTCAGCTCAAATGGTGTTCAGCGTAGCAGTCGACATATTGAGTAAGAAATAGCGCAAAATGTCTGACGAGACTTTCGAGAGCCAGCTGTTGCTCAAAATACTCAAGGTCATTAAATGGGACAGGTTGCAACAATAAGAACTTGAATAACCCTCTTCCCTTTGTTTTTTACTTGAGGACAATGATGTTAAAAGTAACGCCACGAAAGTAACGGATTACTTTTTGGGGTAACGGTCAGTTACTTTCATGGGAGGGTAATTGTAATTGTAATAAATTACAATTTAGGCTTGAGTAATTGTAAATGGAATTCCTTACTATTTTTCAGTAACGTGTACAAGTCTGGCTGAGGGTCCTAGACACTTCGTCTCCATATTCTGCGACAGTGATGTAGTCTGTCTCCAGGTCAATATCGCTGATGTGTGGTTCGATCTCCTCGTTGACTTTAGGGAGTTCCTCGTTGCTGGTTACCAGTCTGTCTCTCAGGTTCTCGAGAGAAGAGGCATCAACGGGCGACGGACTGGAGCATGGTCGTTATCTCGTTGATTATCTTCGTATTCTGACTGCGTCGGACTTTACGCTTGGTCTTGAGCCGATCCATTTTCAGGTTGATTCCTCAAGTCCAAGTCCCGGGTTTCGGCACCAAATAGTTGTTGCGCTTTGAGGCGCTCTTTCGCTAGGTACTCGTTGAGGACATTGAGGTCGAGAAAGAATAACAGCACAACCGGCTTGCGTTAAACGGTCTATCCGACTGCTCGTTCGCTCGCCGCTCGCGATTCCCCAACCCCCTCGTCTTCTTTTAGCTCAAGACTAAATGTCTCATGTCAATGGTGTTCATTGTTAGTTTTTCAACAGGGGTGTCAGTGCCCCTTTAAGCTCTCAGTTACTACATTTTGTCTATTTGATGACCGTGGTACCAATTAGACAGGTCTTTCTTTTACTCAGACAAAGTATCTTGCTTCACTAATGGAGAAAGGTTGTGTTAACTTTTGTGAAGTATTTCTCATATTAATGCCCTCTAAAAAATCCACATATTCCTCGTCGTCCTGTACCAGGCATTTTGTATTGTATATTAACTCAGTGCCACAAAAAATGTTTAGCGAAAAAAAGTTATTTTATTTCGACAAAAAAACATGTGTTTTAATAGACATACTTTGACACGTGCTGCATAGCCGGGTATAAAACTTCTAATATATGACGCCATTATGCACACGCAAAAAAGTACAAAAAAACACCCCCTGATGAGAAGAACGGCCTTGAATACAACATAGAAATTACTGCCTCGCGAGAGCTCGCACACTTTTTCAGACTTGCACTATTCTTACTTTGAATATGCAGCAGTATATATATTCCTGCTCTCGGTGGCTTACAATGAGAACCTACTGCATCTGAGCGAGGGTATCCATAGGAGCTCTCTTTACGAACTCTGGCATGACCATCGCCCAGTAGTACCTGAAAGGTCCCGGGAATAAATGACCAGCCATACTAAAGATTGTGGCCGGTATCATGCCTGCACCAATGAAATGCACTAAGATCCCTTCCAGTATTAAAGGCGTAACCCTCGATACCATCAATGTTTTACCTTGGTCCGCCTCCCTGACAAGAAATACAACTTCTAGGCCCACCAGGGGGCTCTCCGTGGAAATAAGACCTTTGTCTCCAGAGCAAAACCTCCAGGGATAGGAAATCTCAAGGAAATCGGAACGAAGGTTTGCAATAATTCGCTTCTCGTTCTTTGTACAGAAGACTTGGTATTTGTTGGACGGTTCGAGTCGATTCAGGTGGGTGATGGTAGCGTTGCCCAGGATAAGCAGATCGTTCCCAATTTTGGTACCGCCAAAGTGAGTATCGGTGTAAGTTCTCGGAAGACGACTTAAAAGCTGGTTTAGCTTGAACTCCAAGTCTCGGTCCAAGGTGTCGCATCCACCTGCAAATCAAATATAAGAATGAAGTCTGCTTTCTATGGTTCAGAGGTGTTAGAGGTATTTCTGAGTTTAGCAGATTAAGTAAATATCGAAAGTAAAAACTTTAAAAATTCAAGATAAAAGAAGTAGAAACAATTTGTTCGTTCCTGCACTGTCGTGACAAGGGCAGCGGTGACACAGTATATATTGTTCGTTACCCTACAACGATGTTGAAGAGATGAACGTGGTTCGCATTCTGTGCCTCGGAACCGCGAACACCATCGTGCGTAACGTGTGTAAAAAAGAAGAAAAGCTCTGCCAAAATTAGCGCGTGACCGACCGTGAGTGGGGCGCAAACTTTACGTCACTTATGGTCGCATGCCCCAGTTTTGACCATGCTATTTCGGTCTAACTTTTTTTTAAACACTTGTTTTTTACTGCTTGCCTACCGCTCACTCGCTCGTCATATGTTCGGGTGCGCTCGTTGCCTTGAGAAGACATTTCGAGCTCGCTTTTCCCACTTGTGCTGCCAGCGCAGTTCGTTCACGTCTGGATTCACAACCGCAAGCACTCGGGATCAAAACCGAACACTTCCACGCATTCTGCAGTACTTTTTAATACTCGTTAATTTTCTATGACACTCCTGCGTCACATTTACCTGCGTTACAGGAATCTGCGTTACTTGAAACTAATACTCCAAGGCACGTTTTAAATAAAACAATTTAGTCTGGCAGCTTTTATGATTTGACACACTCTACTATTTCGCGATCATGTTTTTTTTTCGGTTTTATTTCTTCAGCTGCAAAATCTAAATAAAGCTAGTTATATATTTAAATAAATATTGTACAAAAATAACACGCGTCAATGATTATTTTAAAAGCAAAATTGTGACCTGTTTTGTGCTTCAAAATTTATCGCAGTCAATATCTAACATCAAATGATTACCTACCGTTCAAAGTGCCTTCAAATTCATTTATGTCTTTTTTTTGTTTTGTAAATGCATATAATTACAGTACTTCTATATCAATTGTCTTTGTAAGAACCGCACTTCCTTCACTAAAAAGGTATTCAAGTAATTTTGCCACGACAGCTTTAACAATGTAGACCTGGATTGAACGTTGACCACCTCCATTGTAGGAACATATGAATACCCTGGGCATTGAGGAAAAACTGACAGAACTAGATATGAGACTTTAAAAAAAAAAAATATATATATATATATAGGCGTTATTGTAGACATCGGGGGTATTTCAGCACTTCATGCAGTCTTTCACTCAATCTCTACGTTGAATCCACTACGTTGAATCCACCAGTGAAACATAATTTACTTCGAAAATTTTAGATTTGCGTGCAACATATTGTCGCCTGCATGACCGAGTTGGAACACTTCTCCTTACCTCTAGAAGATTCGGGTTATACTTTGACCTCGAATGTAAATGATAACTAGGTCAAAATTACATTGCCGAGTAAGTTTCGCCCTAATTCACTACCGAATATTCTAAGGGCCCTAATCTGGACATTTGGCAAACAATTCGGCGAGAAGTCCGGCGGCTATTATTCGCCGGCGTCAAGGTCAAGCGCGGAGTCCCAATTACGGTCGCCAGATTTCTGACCGACTTTCTCGTCAAGTGTCGTCGATGAGAAATCTCGAAGCCATGTTTGACCGACGCCAGGGTCAAGAGCTGCGTTAGCCAATCACTGCCGCTGGATTTCTTGCCGACTTTATCGCCAAGTGTTCAGATTAAGGTCCCAGATTAGAGCCTTAGATCGAGTATTCGAGGTACCAACTGCCGTAGATAGGGAGACGAGAGCGATCTTGCCGACTCATTCTGACTATCCCAACGACGACGCATTCTTGCGCTGCCACATCTCTCGCCGAGGCTCGCTGCTGCTTTCTCGACACTCCTTCTTTTTGTTAGCCGCCTCGGTGGCTCCGAGGCAAGAGCGCCAGCCTACGGATCCCCAGGTGGCGGGTTCGAATCCCGACCGAGGTGCCCGCAATATGACGGAGGCTTATTGCGGAGAAGGCGCCGTGTAACCGAGCTTTCGGTTGCACGTCAAAAGATCCCCAGGTGGTCGAAATTAATCCTCAGTCCTCCGCTGGGGCGTGCCAGATGCCCGTCGTAGGTTTGGCACATAAAACCCCCAAATTTGACTTCTTTTTGTTTTCCTTCTGGCACAAGTTCGTGGATTAAACGTTTCCTTTTCAATCTACGTTCATCGAACCTTTTCAGTCCGCTACAATATCTACAGCGCACGTTGCTAAAGGCGAACATATTTCGCTTCGATCTGCCTTGCTGTGGTCCGAACAGGTGAACCTTAACATCCAGGGTTCTGCTGTAAGTTGCTCTAATACTCTTTTAGAGAATATGTGTTCCATAAATTATCCTTGGCGTCTGCAGTTCTGATGCTAAAATTGATTAAGTACGCTGGTCGGCTTCAAGATTTAGTCCGCTCATTATTATGCCATTGAGCTCTTACTTTTCTCCAAGCAAAAACGGTAAATAATTGAAGACTATACGTAGTTCTTGGAAGTTTTCCTCCAGGGTGCTACTCAAAGTACAAGCCGTTTCTTTTAATTGTTTTACATACTCGTCATTTCTCAAGCAACGATTCTGGTGTTCAATGCAATAAACACAAAAAAAATTAAAACGCTAGACATGGAATAGTTTGTACGCACCTCTGGAACTGTCAATGATGTTTGCATGGATCACATACGGAAGCACTAAGAGAACCGCACATGAGGCAGCAATACGATACATGTTGCTGGAGATATTTCAACCTGTAAGATAATATAAGAGCTCGAATTTAGTGTAATGTTCATGCTTTTATAAGCTGGAAACATGAGTACACGGTTACGGTTTCATTCTGTCTGATATATGATGTTCAAAACTGGTTGAATTGCAAGGGTATATTTTAGTTCACATAAGAAAGGGATATAATAAATCATATTTTCCCAACATTTAAAAAATATTCAGTTTTCCCTGTTAATTTCTGAAAAGTGAAACGTTTTTATCATCAGAGGGGAACCAATGCAAGATCCATCGGGAATATATAAAGGTTGCTTCGTTTTTTTCTCGTTTTTTTAACCAGTATAAAAATAAAGAGTTCGGACAAAGAAACTATTGTAAAAGTAAGCTAGTTAGAAGAAACAGAAACAGAACTTCTTCAAAGCTACAAAGCGGTGGCCGGCGCTTGTATATTTTTCTCATCTTCTTATCAAACAAACAATATATAGGATGTTTCAGCGAAGACTGACAAAAATTACTAAAATGTGTCTATTCTGGGTAAAATATATTTGTTTCGAGTATGCGTTATTCGTGGCGGTGGACGTCTAAAAATGCGCGATATTTACCAATTACTTCTCTAATTAAGTAAGACAACAAACTTTTTATTATATACAATTTACATATGGTTTCGACAAGAAACTTGCTGTGCGTCATCGAAAACCACTAAATCAGTAATATCCTAATAGAATCTGAGCACATGGAAAGCGTATCAGTGCGCTAAAGTTACCACTTGTCGAGCAGCTACAGGCTGGAGCTTTGAGAAGAGACGAACAAAATTTTGCGGACCCCTTATCGCAGCAACCGCTAGCCTTGTACCTGCTCCATTAGTGATAACTTTAGCACACTACAACTCTTCTCATGCGCTCAAATTCTTTCTGAAAATTACTTATTTAGTGACTTTCGATGACGCTCTGCAAGTTTTTAATCGAATTCATATGTCTATTTTCACTCCTTAAAAAGTTAATTAGTCATTCTAATATTAGCGAAAAAAATAATACATATCGTGAATGTTCTGACGTCCTCCACCACGAGTAATGCGGTCCTGAGGAAATTATCATTTTATCGCCAATACACTTATTTAAGAAATACTTCCAAGTTTTCGCTGAAACAGCCATTATATGAACTTAAACTTTTGTATTATATATACGAACACATACAACTTATTTGGGACTCTCAAACAAAATTGGCCGCAACAATCGTAAGACGTTCTTCATATTTGCCCAAAAACATAATTCGGAATCTCCCTATCTAAAAGAGGAAGCAAACACAAAATAAGATAAAATTCGGTAACCTTGATTAGAACAAGTTATTTACGTACCGGCACTTAGAAACAAAATACTATTTTGAGCCACTAATATACGAACATTCTCACCTGATTAAGCTGGAACAAGTTGCTCTTGAACGTAGCTAATCGCAGCAACGTGAGCAACTTCCAGAAGAACCTCCACCTCGAGATCTTATAGTGAACGCCGCAAAGGGAAATAATATCCGACATAGTGTTGTAGTTTTTTATCAACATCCTTAGGCCCCTTTGCCTAATCGCACATTACAGCCCCCGCATCCTATTCCATGCGGCGGCATATCTGCCATACCATGTACTGCTGGAAAGTAATTGTTTTGATGTTATTCTACTGCCGGAAGTTAACATCCGTTCTCACGACGTAATTGTAACCAGGCGCACTGAGAAATGAAGGTCGTACATAGCGCGATGCTGGTAGCACCTAGAAGCAGTCGACGATATTTATTGTTTTATTTTTGTAAGTATCAATACATCCTCAAACGGGTGGTGCAGTGGGCATGGCTCATTAGTGACTTCTACTTGAGTAGTGAAGTTTGACGACCTTCAAAGCTGCATCTAAGTAAAGTATAAAATCAACGACGATTTCGTGTTTGCGTCAATACTCTTGCTTGGTGTACTACAATGTTTCTAGCCCAAAACTCTATATCTGAGCCTGCTTTTGCGAGTTTTACTTGAAGGTCGCATCAAAGGGAGATGATATTGAGTCACAGAGGCTGATATTCAGACCCTTCCGAGTGTTGGAAGCAGCCATGTTTTGAAACGTCACTGTGTTGTCCCTTTTTCTATTTCTTTGTAGTTGTTTACCCTTGCCTTGAAGTTAGCTGATGCCCATGCATCAGCTAGACTCCGTCATTACCCTTGTTTTGTTGGAGTCTACTTTCGTAATTGAGTCCGCCTGTCTAATGTCTTCAATGAGGCTTCGCAAGTATAGTCTAGAACGTTTTATTTTATTTTTTATGAGAAAATTTTTAGTTGTTTTGCAGCCTTACACTATGCATATTACATTTTTATTTCCGCTTTCGTTTATGAAGCAGCTAGGTAGAACGAGAATTGTCCTTCCGGGGTTAAACGAGGGGTTATCCTTCTGGCGGACATCGCGCGTTTAATTTTGGTATCGACATCTTTCCAGAACGAATTTTGACAATAAATAACTCCAACTGCGTGCTCAATTCAACATTTTTAAAAACTCGGCTGGCCTTCAACATTGATTGCCTTCATTTCTGCAATATGCAAATTGCCTAAATATGTCTAATTAAGAGAGTAGATAGTAAATTTTCGATAATTAGTCATCTTTGAGTCTCGTTCTCTCCTGTCCATATTAAACGTCTGGCCTTATAATTTACAGAACGCGTTTTTGCAGTTTTTACAGATTTTGTTTTTGTTTTCATCTAAAACAATAGCCCATTATAGGCCGAGGAGGTAATCGGCCCTTATACTGGCCCTTGTAAATTATTGACTGCATTTCAAAATGAGCCCCAAGTAGGAAAGAAATAATTTGTTCCACGCACCTTCGCCTACGGCGTGTTCAGGATATAAGTGTCAGGTTCGTCAAGTGAAGTCTGATATTTATCTTTTATGAAAACTACCAATTGTATGGTGCCGAAGAAGTCACCACTAGCAACTGCCGGGCACTACTTTATAGACCAATGTAGACGAATTTGTATTTATTTTGACTGATACGCTTTGTACGATTCAGCATCACCAGCCGCTAAAAGTAAATCTCTACCCGGCATGGAAAACTGAGCTGCACACAGGTGACTTCCTTACAAAGAGCTTTTTTTTTTTTCCTTTTCTCTTTTGCGTTGTACTTTTTTTGTTACTAGGCACGTTCAATTTGTCTGCGAAAGTCTTTTTTCTCGGGAAGTTGCGACTTTTGTGATCAAATTTACTATTTATCACTTTTCGATACCCCAAGAAAGTAATAAAAGAACCTAAATGATTCTAGACGTGCAACCCAGCAAAGGTGTAGTTTTTGTGTTCATATATATAAAAGCGATGGAAATATAACGCATTTGGGTGTAATATTAGAAACAAAACAAAAAATCACCTCATGTTCAAGTTACTGTTATTCCGAGAATCAGATAAAATACGAGTTAAACCATTCGTCGCCTACCTTATATATCCTAGGGAGCCTTCATGTGCGCTTTGCTAGGGTGATGCCACCCTTTGTAATATCACTCGCCGACAAACCAGCAGCCATTTTGTTCCTCGGCGATAAACCGCGGGGCTTATAACCCTCCCGGAAACAAGCACCTTATCTCAGAAGTTCAGAGCAGCGTTGTGGAACCCACGGAGGGAGGATTAGCATTTTCTCCCTCGGATGGGATTACCGATGGACACAAAGGCCATTTTCCGGCGCACGGGGAAACAATGAGAGAAACAAAATGGCGGTGGAAGAGGGTGTGGGAAAGGGAAACAGGCAGTTGGCATCACTCTATGCGAAGCGCACATGAAGGCACTCTAATATATCCTATACATAAACAAAAGCCACTGTTTCCGATTTCTTATGAAGGAAGAACACGATGCTTTCAGGAAGCGCACATAAAGGCTTCATTCGATGATTATTCCTGAAAAAACCTAGGTTGTCATAAGTAATTTGGCATTTGAACCCTTCTGCTGTCCTAGAGTCGCCTAGATACTAAATCTGCGTCAGTACTGATTCATGTGCCCCTAATTTTTTCACACGTGTCCGGGCCGCAGGCGCTGAAAATAGGCAAAACATGTCAATATATTAACTGCAGAGGTTACGCACATAATAATGGAATGCAGTTAGGTGGGAAACATAAGCGTGAGACGTCGATTTACAATGGAAGGCATAAAAACCCGATGAAACGTGCTGAGAAGCACGAATACAACGACTTCGCCAGGTTCGAAGAGGAGAGCGCTGCGACGAGTTGATGACACCTTATGGCGCCCGCGTCACTTGATTTCAAGATGGCACCGCCCATGTGACGGAGGATGAAAAGGTCCATAGATCTTCCTTAAGCACCCTTCCCGTGAAAATTAGGATGGTCTGGTGTTTCTGTTTAAAACAAAATGTGCAAAATGAACTATCGCCAGAAAAAGCAATTGTGTTTATCTATAAGATTTTTCTATGAAGATTTGCGTTTGTGTTTATAACAATTGACAGCAATAATTACACTTGACATATAGCTAGGAAGTACAAAAATCGTGTTTTGCTTTCTTTGAAATTACCTCGAGTGAGCATTTAGCAGGACACTCAGATATGAGATCCCAACTACCCATAACTGCAATTTGCTTCTTGAAATTCGTTTTCTTTTTTCGCTCGAAAACCGTCGATCGAGAACCCGCCGGTTTATGTCGCGTTCACTCCTTTCTCCGCGGTCACGTGCCGTTTTATGTGGTTTAGAGACACACAGCAAATATAATCAAGTTCGTTGGTCATCAAAGGCACACACCTAATATTAAAAAAATAGAACAAAAATATGATACCCATTTTTCGTGGCTTCTAAAAAGCCGCAAATACGTTGATTGAAAAGAAAGAAATTGCACGAGAACCGGAAGCACTTTGCATATTATCTGCGTCATTCTCAACATGGCGTCGTATCGCGGGAGTCGCGGGTTGCACTTTTTGGATGCGCAATGGCGGACGCCGGGTGCATCACTAGGACACCGCGGTGGATGCCAGGGACGACCGCCACCAGTGCTCGGTGATCCGTTAAGTGGGTAAACGCCGTGGAAGTCTCTAAAATCCTCCAACATTACGCATAGCAACTGGATACAGCCGAATCGGGATTTCGCATAACTAGAAGAATGTTGGAAAACAACTGTTTGAAGCGGACTAAACGAAGGTTCTCCCCTTGTCAGGCTGTTCTTGGCCGGACGCCAGGGCTGTCCTCCTCGCTCTCTTCGCGCTGCACGGCCAACGGAAGGTCCCGACTTCCCTCTCCTCGTGCCAGGAAGCGAGAGAAGGGTCTTTCTATAGACCAACACGCGGCCCGGACGTCACGCAGCTGCGGTGGTTCTGTCAATGGTCATGACCCATGCGCAGACGTTTCGATTCACGCGAATTCGGTTTCTGCGCACGGCAGTGCCCACACCTGGTGTGGGCAACCTTGGGCTCGGTTGTAAACGGCGTTTCGGTCTATAGCGGCCGACGACAGTCCACGAACTCAAAATCTCTGCAAAGTATCACTCGTAAAGCTATAACTTTAAAATGCTAACCCACTTTGCCCACCCGTACACGCCGCTTCGCGGCTCCCTGCCAGCCACCCAAGCCCTGCTGTCCCCTATAGCGCCTCCGAAAACTACTATCCGCGAGTCGTGGGCTGGACGGCTGAACAAAGCGGTCTACCTGATGCCGACTGGCGTGGGACCTCTACTTCAGAACCATTATTCGCGGTACTGGCGAATCTGTGTAGCTTCGAAAGAAAAATATTTTACCGATAGAAACAATTATGATTTATTTCGTACAGCGCGCCCGATAACCATGCTGATTCGCACGAAGACGTCGCTGAATCGTCGCCGTTTCTCCTGGTTGAAGACATCACTCGCCTTCTGAACACGAATTGACAAGAGTTTGAAAAACAATCAAAAATCAAGCACCAAGTGCTTGACTTTTGCGTTTTCTGTGCGACGGGCGAGGTTTCCGTCTGCTTCGGACGGCCGTAAAAATGAAGAAACAATAAATTAAACACGGATTGGTGTTGACACGTGACTTTCAGCAACCCTCTCCTTCTCTACACATAGTTTTCCTCCCCAGTCCAGTTTCAGTTCCGGTTTCTGGCGGATGCGTTTTTTTTAAAATTTGTTTTTACTTTACTGAAAATATACATGATGCTGTAGCAGAATATTGTTTCGGTAGCCTACTGCCAATATTTAATTGTTTGGAAAAAAATGGGGGGGGGGGGAGGGGGGCCGTTAGAAAAATAATAAGCTTAATTAATGAAAAAAACGATACAGCTGTAGCAAGCAGTATTAAGGCAACTCCATCACTCCTGATGAAACATACAAATGAGTGCACATTTTGTGTTACTAAGATAGGAAGTTGGTTTTCTTACAAGCAGGAAAAAAGCTGGTTGTTCACTATATTATATTGCAGATATGTGAGGAACGTTCAGTAACTGAGGTGTTACTACATGATCCATGTATTTCGTGCATAGATCAGATGCAAATCTAATATTAAGTATTTA